CACCACACCTGAAAGTTTTCCCAGACATTGAAACACCACACCTGAAAATTTTCCCAGACATTGAAACACCACACCTGAAAGTTTCCCAGACATTAAAACACCACACCTGAAAGTTTTCCCAGACATTAAAACACCACACCTGAAAGTTTTCCCAGACTTGTGGAGGAATAGAAAGTCATTACACTGTGTATTGTGTAGTTAAAACACAAAGTATAAAGAGTTAAATCAGAGACCAAACCCATTACAAAATAACACCACCCCCCCTCTACAATTACATTTAACAAATCATTTGAACGTTAGAGAATCGATTCTAATATATGAATAAGTATTTGTTTTTACTTTGGTTCGTTAGGAAATATCTTATACTCCATATTCGATGACGAGGAACCCACTTTGAGACTAATAATGGCTGGAGACGGCTTGAATGGGTAATGAAGAAAAACTTTAATTTACCTGATGATGACAAAACCTTGTCAAAACGTTGTACATTTGCTGTTATGTTAAACTTATATTAAAGTTTTTCTTCATTACCCATTCAAGCCGTCTCCAACCATTATTAAAGGATCATATGATAATTCTAGGTGAGTACTTGTATTCCATTTGTTAGTCTGTTTAGTATTTAGAACTGCCAATAATGTTTTTCTTCAGAGCCAAAATTTTTTTTTAACTATCTAAGTTTTGTCTGGATATATATACAGTGTTTTTTTTTTAGATCTGACCATGCAGTCTATAATATGCCAGCAGGTGTCTTAGTAATGATCAATAAAGAAGACAAACATAGACCTGTCAGTTGCAATGCACAAACTGATCTCTGAGACTCTGACTTAGTTGATGACTGATATCAATGGCAATATAAGTGATTCACTAATATCCTTTGTATCTATTGATTATCATCAGTGACTTAGAATGCAGAAAGAGCCCTGTGTTGGATTAATTGAAAGTAGTTGATGATATTAAAGTGAAGTGCAAATTAGGTTATTTCATGTGGTTGAAAACTGGAAAGCTTCTACAATCCCAGTACACGAGCACTTGATAAATATGCATGCACGAGGCTACAAGAATTGGCAACAGAGGTCAAAATTTACCAGATCTAATACTGAAGATGAGAGTGTGACCTCAAGTTTTCAAGTGTCTACTGAACAATAAATTATTCTGAAGTGTTATTAAAAGAAAAGAAGTTATGAGATATTAGTGATAATCATGATAGAATTACATTATGAACCAATGAAATAATTGCTTTTATAACCAACTGTATTCAGTTGGTACTGATGAAGGACTTGCTTGAAGCAAATGTGCAAAATATACATGAAGGATGCAAGACTTCAAATTTCTGGTCAGATTTCGAACCTCAGTGACATTTCTCTGACATCAGATACAGTGTCATTGGACAATGGACACAGAACATGTAGACTGCTGCTCTTAATGCTAGTATTTCCTATAAGTCATACTGCAATAGAGAAACTGTTGGAAGATCCTATAAATGTAAAGGAAAACAAAGAATTATACCCTTCATAATAAGAGATAATAGAGGAAATATTATGAAAGATGCTAATAATGCTTGGTTGTCAAGGGAATCATGTTTACACCATGCATTACAGCTTGTGACCAGTGGGAATTGAATGACCTATCACATAAAATAACATTTGAGATATTTGATATAATGACTAAGATGTATTAAAGTACTCAACAATCAACGTTGTATAATATACAATTAAAATTTTATTTAAAACCAATCAGTGATCATAAAAGTTACTCTACATGTTTTGATGTCATTCACATCCTCCTTTAATGACTATTCAATTTTGGAATAAGTTCAGATCAAATATTACAAAATACTGTGTGTGTGTGTGTTACTAAGAATACTGTAAAGTGTGCTATATTTGGAAAATGTATAAAATGGCCATATTATTACTGGTTGATGATTATTAGATTTCCTTAAAGTAGAAAGTTGGTATATTATGATTCATTTACCGAATGAGTGATATTGAAGTGAAACAAATGTTATATAGTTATGGATTTGGTTTTCTTTGACTGTAATATGAGATGAAAAGTAAAACAATGTCTTACAAGAACTTAAAGAGTAAAAGATATTTATGTACAAGTTTGGCATTATAGGAAGTTAGGTGAATACTATATAAAAACTGTTAAAAATTAAGTATATTCAATTAATATTTACTGAAAACGAATCACTGATAAGTAAGGTAGGTAATTCAGTAGCTTTTGGTATAAATAAATAAGGAGAATAAATGGAATATAGACCCCTCCCCTCTTATCCTGTTATAAGATATATACATAAAGATTGATACATGGTGCTGCTATTTGAAGAATGAGGTATTGGACCACTGGCCATAAAACATCTGAAATAAAATGTACCACTACTTGTGCTGAAAAATATTATGAAATCCCAGCAACCTGTAATTTATATCATAGCAGTAAGTAGAAATATCATTACATATTTCTATCACTCATTTATAGCATGTTCAAAATTAGTGGATTTATGAAATTATTTAAATATGCCTCAAAAGAAATATTTATACAAAATGGAATTAACTTGCTTTCTTCTTTAAAGGCTTTTGGAACAAAAGAGAGTAATGTGCTCCATGTTTCTGACAGTAGTATCACCAACTTTGTTAATAACCAATGATCCCTACTGGAAACATTTAAAGTAACTGAAAATATTAATTTCATACACCTGATAGTTATCACAAATGTGGGTATTCATCATGACTGTTTGTCTTAAAATAATATATCCCATTTTGAACTGGCAACAATGAAAGCATTCTTGAGGGAAAAGCTTGAAACTTGATTTGTTGATACACAAAGCAACCCAAATTTCACTTTGTCTACTTTGTTTTATCCTTACATCAAAAAGAAAAAGTATTAAGAAATGAAACAGAATTTTATAGAGAAACATTTGACATTGTCAGTTGTACAATCAAGTGTAGTTGAAGATATAATGGAAGTTACATAGATAACTCCTCACCATTAGCAACATCACTTGTTACTAATTAACAGCAGAAAACACATGACTTGTTCTGGGATTGTTACAGTGGAATATTTGTAGACACTTGTAGCAGTAATGATACTGGTCAAACAGATCATGATATATTTTTGTAATTTTGTGCATGAGTCCATTTAATCTTTACATTTTCCAAAGCATATGATTCTTCTTTCTTATTTCAAACAAACATTTAAATTTTATCAAACTGATTAAATTTTAGTTATGCTAAGAAAATATTTTAATCTTTATCACTGAGTCTAATTTAATCAGACGTTTGCAACATAATTAGTCATAAGCAACTCTAGTTTTTGAAAGAAACTTAATATACATTTTAAGTTTTTTTTACCAATACTTTCTTATTAATACACATTTATCAATCAACTGTCAGAAGAAACTACCCTCATATCAGTATACCACATTAAGGTTATCACATAGTTAACTAAGACACACTGTGCAATGTTCACTTTATCAGAATTATTTACTCTGATATCCTTACTTAAAGCTAAGCAGTTTGACATTCTGATGTAAGAATAGTAGCCACTCTGCATTTTGGGGAACAATCAGTTTCACTTTGCTTTATAAATGTTGTTGACTTTTGAAAACAGATGTTTACCATACACATTTCTGATAAGGACTGATAGAAATGTCATAATAATGAAAATGCATCTTTGTTCAATTTCCACCACAATAATGGATTATATCATCACTTTAAAAGTGACAGAGACAAACAGAACATAATTTCTTTTTGTATAACTGAATCTAGTAATCATTTTTGTAATCTTAAAAAAAATCAAGCTGGACAATTGTTAACTATTGTACATTAATGAAGTTACTAATCAGTTGACCTTCTGTGTTAGTTTGATATTTATAAATTCTTAGATGCTAGCACTTATAATGATTTTAAGATTTATTGATTCTGGTAAATTATAAGAAAATTTCAACTGTTTAGTTGAGAAAATCTGGTCAAACTGACTATCCAGTAGAACAGCTAGATACTGAATACCTGTTACAATCCTAATAGGTTGTGTTGATTTATTAGTCCATATAATTATATTTACTTTTGAATAATTTTATTTTATGTTTTCATAAAAATTAATTGCAACTAGTATTGTGTTATTTGTAATTATGTTTACTGAAACATATCAAAGTTTTTTTGCTTTTCTTTTGCTTTTTTTCAATGCATCTGCTACTATTATCATAAAATTATTTTCACCTATGTTGTTTTTTAATAATATTTTAGGATCGAAACACCTTCCATAGATTTGACAAGTTCAATGCCAAGTACAACCCCATCGGAGAGAGCAGTCTTAGAGAAATTTTTCTTAAGACTGATAACTACATCAATGGCAAATACTTTGCATTAATTCTCAAAGTGAGTAAAAAAAAATACTAATGATGGTTAAGTGAAAATGTTTAAATGACAAAACATTTTTCTTTCAGATATTCTAATTTTGTTTAAGCAAGAACATGCATAAACACTAAAACAAAAAACAGTTTAATTGTTAATACTTTTCAAAATACTTGTACATGTATTTTTCAGAAAGTTATGCTTGAATTAAGGAAAACAGACATATTATTAAACAAAAATTTACACTACCACTTTTTAAAATGGTGGCACATGCACATAGTAGAAATTAGAAAATATAATTTTTCTGTGTTTACTCAAACCACAGCTATTTTCTAACCTGAGAATAAAAACTATTCATATCTTATTATGTTTGAGCATGTTAATTACTTTTTCTTAAATGTATTCAAATCCACAACAATATATATAGAAATCAAATAAGAAGTTGATACTCTTTATTTCTCTCAATGATGCAAGGGAGTAAGATCCTTTATGTTTTAGTTAATACAAGTGTTCTAATGTAAAAGCTCTACTGATTTTGAAACACTAATAAACTGTATTAGAAACTTTGTTTTGTTAAGACTTTGTTCTGCACCACAGGAAGTGATGTTTGACCTTGAAGAAAGCAAATACCAAAATGCAGAGTTGCGGCTATCTATTTATGGGAGAAAGAGTGATGAATGGGATCGTCTTGCTAAGTGGGCTGTGGATAATGATGTGTATTCTGATAACGTTAGATGGTTGATTCAGATTCCCCGACTTTAGTAAGAGTGAACTTTAGTTTTTGAACCCACCGTTTCATGTGAAATATAGTAAAAAGTTAATTTTAGTGTGTAGTTATGGTTTTTAGGTATGTATGATGTGCATGGTTTAAATTTAAAAGTAGTCATGTGCATGTTCTGTGACTTGTACTTTCATACATATCAGTGTAGTACATGAAAGTACACTTAGCCTCTTTTGCTGGCTTTCTTTAAATATTAATTGCAGAAGTTCACCAAATACACACAATATAAAACTTGTGGATGAGGGTTAGTAATTAAATAACATACTAACTACATTAGAAAAACCTTGTTAATACATGTATATTATATATATATCCGTGTGTTTGTGTCTTTGTTTGTGTGTGCATGCATTTTTTTGTGTGAATGGAAAAGCCCACTAAGTAAATATACCTTAAAATTATGATTCACTAGTTTATATCAAGGCCTTAATATTTTGGCTTAAAATTATATATATTACACAATTACTTATTCCTTTCACAATGTTTTCACAAATGTGTATCCTGGTGTTTAGTTAATTTTGTAAAGTCTTGATTATTTTAGTTTGCTTATCAATTACTGGTCAGGATTGTTTTTAACTAATGACATTATATGCGTAATTTGTTTAAAATTGTTTTTCAATTTTTTGACAGATCAGAAAACAAACCTAGATTTGCCATTTCGAAAAAGTTTTGGCTGAAATATTAATTCTTTAAGTGATTTTTTGAGTCATTTACATAAGATGTGTTATATCTGTTATGCTAACATTTCTCTGCTTGTGAATACTATATACATATGTAAGTAATTTGCAATTAGTTTAATAATAATTTTGTTTTGTTTCATGATTTCATATAAAAATGTCTTGCTTCCTCTCTTTCTAGTGATATCTACAAGTCTATTAATCTTGTAGAGAACTTCCAGCAGATTCTGGACAATATTTTCATGCCATTGTTTGAAGCCACTAATGATCCTCAGAGTCATCCTGAGCTTCATGTTTTCCTGCAGTATGTAAGTAAATATCCTAATCACTGCTATAGTAATGATTAGATAAAATTATTACAAACAGTCTTTATGAAACGTGTGTAAACATATAATTCTGTGTCATTTCATTTATCAGTATTTATACAACACTAGCAAAAGTACCCGGGTTCTTAGGTTGGTTTATTCTAGATGACTATGTGAATGTGTGTGTATTCTGAACCCATTTTAGCATAAAAGTATAACCTATATATTTTTATTGCTCCTTCACAGGATGTGGCCTGTTTATAAAGGTAACCTTCTCTCTGACCTGTCCTCTGATTTTGAACTTAAATAATAAAAACAAACCTCTTTAATTAATGGAGCCTCTAAATTAGAAAACAAATATTTTTCTCAATTTTGTAGTTTATACGTTTCATTTTATACTTTCAGTACATAGCTTCTTAACAACAGTATTAGGTATACTTTTATTGCTAAGCAACATGATATAAAAGCTACTGTTGGAATGCATTGTTACCAAAATGAACTGGCTTTTCTATATATTAGAAGTTGTTATATAAGGAACAACTTCTTTTCTATATGTTTTTTTGCTAGATTTCCTCATTAAAACAAAATTGCACACACACACACACGTCTGTGTCTATCTATCTGTATGTGATTTATATCTATAATTTGTAATACAAGGAACCTCTTCTTTTCTATGTGTTTTTTTGCTAGCTTGACTCGTTAAAAGAATGCGCACGCACATGGATAAGTATTAATACTTAGGTGCACACCTTTAGGGTCCACTTAATATGGCTGCAAAATTTCAGGTTTTCTTTGAGCTATAGTGGTCACATTTCTTTTCTGTGTGGTTTTTCACAAGCTTACCTCACAAAAAGATGCACACATATGTAGATAAGTAATACCCAGGTGCACACCCTCAGGGTCCACTTAGTACGTGTGCACAATTTCAGGTTTCTAGGTTCTTTGATCTTGGAGCTATGGTGGTCACATATTCTTTTCTATGTGGTTTTTTGCATGCTTACCTCACAAAAAGATAAGAGAAAGATATACATAAGAAATTTAGCCCTTCTTTCAGCTTTTTTGCAATTGGATGCCATTCTTCATTAACCCTCAATTTTCTCACTAAGTTGGTTGTTTAAAAAATAATTCATGTAGCTTTCAAATATGCATTTTAAAACCCAGAAGGTTATTCAAACATTAAGAAAATAATGCTCACAAACTACTATAATTTATCTTGCTTTCCAACTGATGAACAAAGGATTAAAACTTTTCATTACTTATTGTATCACTGACTTCGATCTTCACTCAATAAAATCTACTTGGGAAATGGCACCTTTAACCAAAATAAATGAACATGAAGATGTCATTATCACGTAGTTCACAAAATGGCTTTGTTATTGGTTATGAATGTGCCATTTACAAATAGATATAAATAAATAAGTAAGTTCAAAAGTAAGATGCGTTGGGAGGAGCTTCTGTGATGGGTGTAACAAATTTATTGATATCTCAGAAAATGAAGTTGGAAGGTTCTTATTTTTAATTCTTGCCTGTCAATATCTGTAGTTGGAGTATTTAATTGATGGACATTCTGAAACACACTTCAGGGAAAAAAATCTAAAATGTAGAATTTGGAGCAGAAAGGTATCACATGACACACAGAAGTGAAAATTATAGATTTATTTAAATATTTCCTTTTTAAATTAAGAAATCAAACTTCTTTTAAGATTTGTATTATAAACCAGTTTTAATGTCAAATTTGTTGACATGCATTGATTATAAAGTTATTTCATTAAATTTCAAATAAAACACTGTAAAATTCATGAAAAGTCAACTTTTATCACCACCCATACACATATAATTAATAATTACAGCTAAAGAGATATTTTTGTGTTTTATATTGAATTTTGTAATAAGAGTTAAAGAAACAACAATTTTTTTAAAAAGTAAGTAGTGAAACTTTTTGTTTGAAAACATTAAAAATGGTAGCAAAACATTTAATACAGCATGTTGTTGAATTCCTGTTCTTGCACATCATATAATTCTTTAAAAAATAATTTATTTAACAGGTGATTGGCTTTGACTCTGTGGATGATGAGTCTAAACCAGAAAACCCTATGTTTGACCAGGATGTTTCCTTTCCAGCAGATTGGAATGACAGTGAAAATCCTCCTTATAACTATTACTTATATTACATGTTTGCTAACATGACCGTTCTCAACCACTTCAGAAAGTTTGTACATTTTTTTTTGTTTTACGCATTTCCTATATGTTGTTCTGAGAATTTTTCATTATAAACACAATATACTTTCTATAAAGTTTGTTGTTCTTAGCAAGTTAAAAATTACTATCAATAATGAAATGTATATAGCATTCACCCACAGTTAATAATACTAACAGCTATAAATGGTTATTTTACATTGAAAAGAAGTAAGCTGAATAAATAACTGTATCAAATATGTGCTTATATATTAAATTGAGCTACATAAAAATGCACCATAAATGAATGGGATATAATTAAAACTGATTTGTTTTCTAGGTCTTTAAATTGTGTAATGATTAAATTGTAAATCTGCTTTTTTTTCTTAAGAAACTAATAATTAAAATATCTGTAATTCACTTGTTTTAACAATAGAAAATAATTATTGAAATAATTTTAAGAAAAAACTGAAACATTTGGAATTCTGTATTTGATCATTGAATAATTTAGGGAACGTGGATTCAACACATTTTATCTTCGTCCTCACTGTGGTGAAGCAGGGCCAGTTCAACATTTGATAGGTGGATTTCTTCTTAGTGAGAACATTTCTCATGGCTTGCTTCTTCGTAAGGTAAAGTCATTTTTCAGCAGTTTGTACACTCAAATCTTTTCATGATTTCTTCATTTTTTACAATTTATATAAAATTGTAAAATGTCCTGTATTATTTTGTTGCTCATTTAGTTTGTTTTTAGCTATACTGGTATAGCTATCTCAATATTCCTATAATCCACTCTGAAAAGTGTTATTGAGATTGACATTAAGTTTAGCAAAAGTTTATAAAGAGTACAAATTAACATATAATCTCTATTTCTATATCATTTTAGGTTTTAACTTATGTTGTTCTAACATTAACAAAGTAAACGATTATGGGAAAAAAATTGTTGTGTTTCCTTGATGTTGTGCTGTAGAGTTTTCTTGAAAGTTTTTAAAATAAGTTCTCAAGTTTAACTAACACTACTAGACTTAGACTGGTTTAACTACATCTGAAATTTAATCAGATAATCAAGACTAGTCATGGCCTAACAACTCTGGATGTGTTTCAACCATTTCTACAAAAATTCTTGCTGAAGCCGTGAATTATAAAGAAATTTTAAAAATCTTCTTATCTAACTACTTTGGCCTCAAATTAACAGAGAACATAAAGTGTCACTCTTAAATAATTTTATTTTCTGTATATTCATTGTATTCACATGTGGTTTTTGAATATTTCTGATTTTTGTAAATATAATTAGTTTTAATCTTAAAATAGTTGGTAGGAATGTTCTGATCATAGTGCTAAATTTTTGCATATCAGTAACCATATCTTTTATTTAATTCCAGTTTCCTAATAATGCAACAATGATGTAATGTTCATCAATATATAAGATTAGTAAAAACTGTTAATTTAAAAAAGAGTAATAGAAACAAGTTGAATCAAAAACAAAGATTATATTTTCAAGCCTAACATTGGGGGCTCTAAAAAAAAAAGTAAACAAACAAGGCTGGAAATACTGTCTACATTATCTTCTCGAGCTACAAATCCCTACTTTAACTCCACTAGAATTGATAAATACTGTAGACATGGAGTCAGAATAGGGATTTGTAGCTTGAGAAAATAATATAGATACTGTTTTCAGCCTTGTTTGTTTCTTTTTTAGAGTTCCTAATTGTAGACTTGAAAATATAATCTTTGCATTTTGACTCAACTTGTTTTTGTACTTTTTTGATGAGCCCCATTTAAGTTTTTATGTCCATTTATGAAGAATAAATTTTAAGCTACATATGTGCATGTGTGTTCAGTTGAATCTTGTATGTTTTTCAACAGTTTATGTTGGCTTTTTCCACACCCAACCACTACACTGGACTTGTTCAAAATAAATAAAAAATTTAAAACAAAGAATAAACACATAATGGTTTGCAACTACAACAAACAAAATGCAATGTTGTTCTTAAAGGACCCTCTTGAAGGTAAAGATTATATCACCACAGATTTAACCCTTTTAGCATGGGCAGATGTGATTACTATCTGCTTGACCACGAAAGGACATTTATGTGACAAAAATAAGCTAACTCTGTGTGTTCCTCACAAAAACTAGTAAAATTTTGTTGAAGTATCTTGTACATAGAGAATGACAATATTTTAAATATGTCTTTCTAACAAAAATGTTATTTATGTATAGTAGTTATTTGCACTCAAATTGTGAATACTTCGAGTACAAGATGATTTTAATTAAAGTTTAAAAATACTTTTCTTTATCTTATACTTTCATATTTCATTTGCATAACCTCTAGAACCTCCTAAATAAATACCAAAAGTTTTTAAGGTAAATGTTTTTTGTTTTATTTTCATTTTCTCTACCATATCACTAACTCTAGTTATTATCATCAACATACAATCCAATGAAATCATTAAAACTAGGAAATAGGAAAAAAAGTGCATAAAAATTTTTGTAGAATATCTTTAAAGATTTTCCTTTTGTTAAATTCATAATTTCAGATCTTTTCCTTTCCACATATAGTTAATTTTTAATGTTTTAATTTCCTTTCTTCTCCTTTACAACTTATTTTTCATCTTGACACAAGTCAGCAGTGCTCTTGAGTCATATTACAGTGTCTTTGGGAGTCATGCGCAACCCTTTTACGTAAGTTTTGAGAATGGACGCAAAGTATGATGTACATTTTAAAAATATTTAAACCTTTTAATTATGCATTTTAAAACATAACTAATTCATAATTATCTAAAATATAATAGTAAGACCTAAATATAATTTGAACTGTATCTCTAACTATAACATATTTAGGTAAGAAGCAACCAAAAGTGCTATAGTCGATTAAGCAAACAACAATACTTCAGTTATTTCCGTGGACTCTGTGATGACAACTGGGCGCCAACTTCAAAATAACCGTTGTTAGGTTGTAGTTTAAAATGAGCTCTTTCTAATGACCATACACATAGATATGTAACATCTACATGTAGGCTATAAAGCTCAAACAAATCTCTGTAAGGTGGGCATGAACATTGAAATATGCAAGTCAAAAAGTTATTTTATAGACTCTAGATGTACTTCTACTCAACTACCATAGTATTATTGAAGAAACAAAGAGCCAAAGCAGAGAATTTTCAAAGCTTGTTGGTTACATGACAATAAATCTGAACCTTTAAATAGTTTTTAAAGGTTTATTTTGAAATAAAGGATTTAAAACTTAGATAAAATAAAACTTCAAATTATGACATACATTATAATATTAATTTTATTCATGTACATAAATAGTAAAGGTGTTTAATTAAATTTTAATGTAACATAGTGACTTGTGCCAAAAAGCATTTAAAGGGGCACCTGTTGCGAAAGGGTTAAACAAAAAGACAAGCAGCAACAAAGGAATCTCATCAGAACAGAATAATGTTTCATCTAAGATAATACAACACAGATTAATGCAATGTAAACAGACTCAGTAACATGATTACCTAGTTAGGCACTTGTTGTGAAGGGGTTTATGGCCAGCTTTCATCAAAGTCACAGTGTAACGTAACAAAAGACAAGCAGCAATAAAGGAATCTCATCAGAATGGAATAATGTTTCTTCTACGATAATACAACACAGATTAATGCAATGTAAACTGACTCAGTAACATGATTACCTTGTTAGGTCTACATGACACGCATGTATGTTCTTTAACAGCCTGCTTGCTAGAATAAGGGGACATTAATAATGCATGTAAAATAGGCAACACTTAGTGTAAGTTACCAATTTAGTTACAACTGCTACCTTAACACCAACTGTTTAAAAATAACAATAGCTATATGAAGTAGTGCTATATGCAGTGGTAATAAATACTAAATATGCACTAACAATTTCAACTAAGTATATACAAAACTCTAGAAAAAATCATCACTGTTAAAAACTGCTGAAATGTAGTTGCGGAAATCCGCATAAAGACAGCAAACTCAAGTAATGATATGCAACAGCAAAATCAGAAATCTTTCATGTTGCAGTTTCCAACTAATGAGCATGCTAGGAAAACACCGGATGTTTTGATGGGAGAAAGTGAAGGACTTAGAAAATTTTGTAGTACGACAAAATTATGGAGATCGAATTAAGTTTCAAAGTATGCAGTTTTTTGCAAAATTCCTGTGCAATCTCATACTACAGTAGATATCACTTGCAATAGTTTTATAGTGGAACCATAATAGGGATTTGTAGCTTAAGCAAACTGTCAGCAGTAGATCTCCAGCCTTGTTTGCTTACTTTTTTTTGAAATCCCTATTTGTATATTGTAAGTTCTCAATTTTTAATTATATTGTATGTTGGCTTTGTTAATTCACAGCAGTGAATATATATTATATGCCAATAGTAAGACACAACTCCCACTAAGCTGATATAGTATTTTAACAGTAGAAAAGCAGCCTTTTCAAGTAAAAGAAATATGTCCAAAACATCGCTTTAAATAAAACTTTGTGTCTTTTTATTTACCGAGCCAGGTAGCTTTTGTGCCTGAGGTTTTGTGTGAACATGCGCTTAACATGTATTGAGTACAAAGGCAGCTGCTCATAACAACATTGCATCTATTATGTATTTATAACCACATAAATCAACTTCAAGGGAAAATAATCAACTTTTAAACAGGTCATTGACATTCATATTATTTTATGTAGTTTTTGGTGCAAATTTTGATTTTGCCTAACAATTGTGAAATCATTTATTTTGCTTGTTATTAATGTTTGGGTGGTCTCAGCTATTGCAAAGGAAGGGTTTGAGTGTTGTTGTTACAAGAATAAGTGTGCTTTTTGCCCAATTGTTGTATTACAGTTTGAGCAAATTCCTGTGTGATCCCTATTATGAACCACTATGGTGGTTCATGATTACACTTACATTTGTGAATGTACTGAACTATTTTGAGTTATTTAGATGTAATTAAACCAGTCTAAACCCTATCTTATATACAATGTACCACTATAAGAGGACTAATGGTATTGGGTTTGTTGACCCAAGCTATGCTGATGAGCCTTGAATAGGTGAAAGTGCAGACCACAGCAGAGGGTACGGCCAAGCAAAGAATGTATTAGGCCCCTATGTCACAGATTCTCTTTTCAATTTCATCTCTGGTGAAAAAAGAAAATAAATCTTTAACATATATATACAGTCTAAATCCTGTACTGTCAGTTAAACTTGAGAGTTTGTGTAGAACCCTTCTGAAGAAACTGTAAAACGAAACATCAAGCAGGTGTAACATTTTCCCCTTAAGTTGTTTCACACTTGATATTAGACTTGCCTAGAAAACATTATTTTTAAAGATTACGATGTCCATCTTTTTTCTGCAGTATTTCAAGTATATCTAAACAATTAGTACGTACAACTGAAAGTGAACTTTAAACGTGAACATTAAAGAATACATGACAGCTAATAAAAATTAATCTAATTATAATTTTTGAGGATCTGCTAATGAGTACAGAGTATGTATTTGTAACTATGTTCTGTGTGAGTTGAATTCCAGATAATTGACTTAATTACTGACACAAACTAGGTAATTTGTTATCAACAATATTAGAAATAATTATGTAGAAAAGAAACAACTTCAAGAGGAATTAGCAGTCTTTATTCTGCAAGTTTAATGATTCATTCAAACTTCTTTTTTTTTTGCTATTGAACATCATTGTTGTTATAGGTTCTAATGCAGATGTAACCATCATATGCAAGTTTGAGCAAATCAGATGACTGTTAAAGGTGTTTAAAACTGTTTGTAGATACTGTTCTTGTAATTACTAAATTTTTATTCCTGTTAATCCAAACTTGACATTATTTTTGTCGTAACATAGGTATTTCAATGTTGATTTTTTAATTAAAATATAATATTGGAATTTACTTTGAACTCTCACGCTTTCCTCAACTATTTGATATTTAACTGAATCACTTATGGTTACCTTTCTCTATAACAGTATTTTCTCTTTTATTGATTTTTTTATTTCTTTTAATATTTTTTTCCACATCACAGGATAGTGAAACGAAATATTTTCCCCTTTTATTTCCAAATCAGTATGCTATTATGCAACTCTTATGTAGTGTAACTGTTTTGATGCCTTTAATTTGAAAATTTTATAGTACAGACAGATGTATTGGCTTTTTATGTATATTTATAGTGCAATTACGAAGTGTTATAAAACAGTTGCAGTTAATATTTTATTGTAGTGAACCACTTATATTGAGTTATTATTTCTTTTAAAATATTTGAAATAATGGTTTAACAGTTTTCTATCTTGTATTTCATTAGTGTCTGTGTACTTCATGGTAGTTGGTCTGTTAAGTATTTTTATCACTTATCTTATAGTATCATCTAAAAATTGTTTTTAAAAAGATGGCTTGTTAAGTTACTTTCTTGAAAAAAAAAGTGCCTTGAAGACTGATACTTATACTGTTTTAAATTCTTATTTATTCCAGTACTTATTCATGATAGAATCATCAGAAATACTTGATATAAATAGATAGAACTTTAGTTTTAAAACATTATTTGCTTGTATTATACCATTTACAGTGTACTAACCATTTTTTACTTGTGTTTTTTTTTAGGTACCTGTTTTACAGTACCTATACTACTTAGTCCAGATTGGAATTGCCATGTCTCCTCTAAGCAACAACTCACTGTTCTTGAATTATCATCGTAACCCTCTTCCTGAGTACCTCAGTCGAGGCCTTTGTGTATCTCTGTCTTCAGATGACCCTCTGCAGTTCCACTTCACCAAGGTAAAGTATCTTTGTTATAGCTTTTATTAAGATATCTGTATGATCTCTCTGTTGTCATTATTAACAAGGTGTCGATGTTCTAATGGCTCGATTTACAGTCAGATGAATGTCAAAATCAGGTTTATTGAAGAAAATTTAGATGTTATTTGACGTGAATTAAGTTATTAAATTATAACTTTAATACAAATTGTCATGATAGTATTAATAGAGATTATTCAACACTTATCATCATATTTATTGTATAAATCATATGTTGTATGTTTTCCTGTTTTATGAATTATTTTTTATTTGTTTGAAAATGTGTAATTAATCAGAAGTATCGTTCTATGTTTTAGGAACCACTGATGGAAGAGTATAGCATTGCAGCACAAGTGTGGAAGATGAGTAGTTGTGACATGTGTGAACTAGCTCGTAATAGTGTGCTTATGAGTGGATTTCCACACAAGGTTTACTTTTATTTATATTTTATTAAAATTCATTCAAAGGCAATAAATTCATAATTTTCTAACTTTGTAAATGGTGATAGAGAAACATTTTACCCTAGTGTTTGACTGATGCAACTGTTTTCTCTAAATTTCTAAGAACAAAATTTTCTGCATTTAATTATGTCAAATCTAAAGAAGTCATACCATCAAGTGTATTGTCTAAATAAAGATTCTGAATTCATCAGTTAATTAGGTTTTACTTCAAAGAAGCATTTTTTTAACCTTAGTACAAAATCTGTATATAATTTTAAGTATAGTTAATGTGTTTAACAGTTTAAAGTTAATAATTTCATAGAAAAATCAATGAGAATAATTTCATATTTTCTCACAACTCAAATGAATATGGCTATTATTTTTTCTCTTGTTTTGAATATAATAAATTGTGTAATTATTTTGCAACAAATTCTTTTGTTTACTTGGTGCTAAAATATGACATCTGAGTTTAGTTCATCTTTTGCTATTCTATCAATTTAAGTTTTTTCAAAAGTAAGAAGTTTGTGAAGGGTTAAAGTATGTGATATAAATTTTAATACACTGCATTGATTTTTCTTATAAGAAACATAATCAAGAAAAGCAGAATTAAAAAGAAATTCATAAATAGGGTCAGCTGCAGTAAGAATAGTAGAACACATTCTATGCAGCTTCTTAAACAAGTTGAAAAGATTATCTTATCAAAATATTATGCTAATGAACCATGGGTAATGGCTATAATAATCTGTATATTAGTTAAAGAAATTTTGAGAAAATATGCTTACCATCAGCAACTGTTCTTCACTTTGGTTTAGAAAAAATCAAGTCTGTGATACCACTTAGTAAACACTAATAATAAAGTAATTTTCTACTTCCCTCAAAATTTAGGATATTTTTGTTGAATATGTGTTACTCGGTTCCAAACTGTTCCTAAGGTAAAGATTTTCTTTTCTAGTTATTAGAGTTAAATCATTTTGAAATTCTCTAATATTTTTGGTTTAACTTACTTAAGAAAGAATAGTTTTATTACCACAGATTTTCATAGTTAATCTTTACATTATAGTTTCACACTTACCCAAAAACCTCTAAATATATTGTATATTATCTCCACAATAAAAGCAATCGTTACTAAACTTATATTAATTATTCATTGCTGTTTCACTCTGTACTAAAGTGTACAAGAAAATACCAACTTAAATTAAGTAAACATTAAAATGTTCTTTGTTTCTCACTAGGTGAAACAGTACTGGCTGGGTCCAAACTATACTCGAGAGGGAGTTCCAGGAAATGACTTGAGTCGTACCAATCTCCCTGATATCAGAGTTGCCTATCGTTATGAAACCATTGTAGAAGAACTTTCTACAATCTTTCGTGTTGTCCAGCATACTTAAGTGAATAGAAGAAATATTAAGATGGCTGCAAACACTATTATTATTATTCTTTAGAACATCCTGAGCAATTTAAAAGCATTTAGGACTTGACTGTAGATGTTTGTACCTAAGTGTTGTTTTTAGTTTTGATAATTAGTAACTGTAATATTTCTGTGCACATTAGTAGGAATTAATATTTAATGGTTCTTATAGGGGAAAAAAAAATCACTAATACTTGAACTTAACACATTTTTTCTGTCTACTGTTTGTTGAGAAGATTTGCACTGGACAGTACAGAACCAAAAAACACAAACAATCTGCATTGTACATTAGAGGGTATTATGAATAGAAATATATTGTAATACATGTCTTGTGTGCTATGCATGTTTTTGATTGTAATTCAATAATAATCAAACTTCAGCTCACTGAATTACAACTAATTTAGTGCAAGAAAGCATGATAATCAAAATTAACATTGTGTTGGGTATTTGCATTCTATATGGTTTAGATGTTTGAGTTTAGATTACTTTTTGCTATCTATAAATTACCTCAATTAATACATAATGACTGAAATTTTTATTTCAATCACGAAGGAAGTATGCATCAAATTAAGAATGTGACCAGTATTATAATGTATAGTACTTTGTTGAAGACTTGGTAATTATGTGCCAACATATATAGAAGATTAAATTAATATTTAAATTGACAGCTAAAAATAATTTCAGATACATTCAAAAAGTGAAGTGCTTTTTGTTGAGCTATAAACAAAGATTATAACATTACACCCTGAAGAGAGTTAAACTTGTGTTATTGGCTTAACAACTTATTGGAATGTTAGTTAAGGCATTAGTTTTGTAATACTATGTTGTGTGGCACAGTTTTAAGAAGAATTAAATTGATAGCTAGATCAGTGATTTTGAGCTTTATCATGAAAGATTCATGTGTCTTAGTACTACAGTTCAACAGTTTAAAGAGGAATGAATGTTATACAAAATGTGTAGATTTCCAATTTGCTGTTATAACTTATAAATTACCTGTGAAATTCGTGAGAAACAACAACCACACAAAAAAACCTTCACATTTTGTATTCAGTTACCATTCACATCTAGTTATCAATTTATAATAAGTAGGCTTACATAGCCAATCCTGAGAGCTATAGATCCATGATGTGGGGCCTCTAAATTTGAAAATTCCCCAAATCTGAATTTAGATAGTTCTTAAGAATAGCATTTTACACATTAGGACAAAATTTCAAGTGAATAAGTTGAATTAGGTGTGAGAGCTCTTCCCCTTCACCCAATTTTTGAAGCCCCTTTACTCATGACTTTTTTCATTTATCTTCACAAATGTAACCTACCCGTAAATTGAAAACAAAACCTGGAAAAAAAAAAAAAGAGTAGGATTTAACTAGAAGTCCACCATGGGCTGGCATTACACATGATAGAACAGTGGTTCATAGGTTTAAATATTACATATTTGTTTGAGAAGGGAATTAGTATTTTGCATAGTGAAAATACTTAATTCAAGATTAAAATTTTTAAGTAACACAGGGGTAACTATTTATTTTTTAAAAATAGATATTGATGAGTATTTCAGAAAATTAGTTTTGTGCAGTAACTTGTTTATAGGTGATAGCCCAGTTTTCATATCTATAGTATGTGCACTGTTGTAGTTGTGTATGAATAAAAATTTCAATCTTGCCTTTGTATTACAACTGGAGGTGCAAATTTTCTTTGCTAGTTTGAGACAGAGAAAAAAAGGGTGAGAATGACTGTTGTATTTGTCCAATCTTTTAGAAAGATGAAGTTCAAATAATATTTCCCTTCATCAGTAACTGAGTTACATGAAGATCACAATTGTTTATCTATTCTTAGGTAAAATAGTGGGGGTAATTTATAGAAATGGTGTTTTTTTGTTGTTTTGTTATTGATATTTGGAGAGATAAAACACAAGTTACCACCCATTATCAGTGGATATGATCAAGGTTAATAATGAGGACCTTAGTAAGTACATCACTCCAAGTAATAAGATCACATAGTCCACCATTAAATTGCTTGCTTGCTGGTAGGGTACTTGAATCCTCCTCAAAATAATTTTTTTCTTTGTAATATTATTGCTATTTTTAATTTATCAGTGGAAGTCCTTAAGCAGTTGCTTGTCTTGCTTATACTTAAGGCCAGCACTGGAGGTTGAATGAAGTGTCTTCATCCTAGTGTAGTTAATATTTTTACATTATACCAAATAATATTTCATTGTTAGTCATTTTAGTAAATATGCTGTACAGCTTTAAGTATATTTAGGAATTTGTTCTGAAGAAAGTAGTGTTATTATATTATAGACAATAGTTCAGGATATCTACACCTAGTGAAAGATTAGTTAGATACAACAATGTAAATAAAAAAAAAATTTTATGTATTTTTGAAGTGTCAACTATTCTTCCAAAAATGAAAGGCATCTGTAGTAGGAATACTTGCACCCTGCAGACACACTATTGTATGTTTGATGCTGTTATAAGTTTACATTTGATGATTGTAAAAATAATGAAAAAAATGTTATGTTAATCTAAATTTACTTGTATATCAAGTGCAAGTAGATAACTTAAATGTAACTGAAACACGGTATTGTAATATTAAATATCTGAAATAATAATAAAACATTCTGTTTATAACTTGTCGTACAACAAATATGAAACAATACTGTATGCTTTTTTTTGTTGTTTTGCTAATGTTTCCCTTTTCTCATTTCTAGAGAAGAAGATATGTTTAGATCCTCCCATTACAAATTGTTTATTATCAGTCAGATATTTTAATTTCTGTCTTGGTTATTATTTTACTAGATGTTAAAGGCTTCACATCTCACTTTGCAGTGTATTACACAAAATTTGTATTGTTTTGCATTACTATTTTGGTATAACTACTAGTTTATGCTTAAAATAATTTATTTAGCAAATGTGAGAAAGGTAATAAAACTAGGGTTATTGACCTATACTAGGTAATATAACGTGTAAGTGAGGAACCAAGTCGGATAGAGTAGTACTGCTGAAAATACAAAAACTTTTTCACACAAGTAAAATTATGTCAGAAAAGCAGAGCAAAGGTATTCAAACATAGGAATGTTAAATTGTTTGTATGTAGTTTGCAAGCATTTTTCCTGAAATGGTATTCTTTACTTAAATTAAAATTTTGTTTCATGTACAAGTATTTTTTGTTTACATATCTCTATATATTTGTTATTTTTCTGTTTTGAGTATTTATGTCAAAAAAATTATTTCTTTGCTTAGTTAACAGAGGTGGAAGTTAATAAGTAATACAAATTCTAGAATAATTTTATTTATTGCAAGGTAATGAAAGCTACTTTAAGCATTTCCTACAACATAAATCTCATTCACATAAAAGATTTGAGTTCCTTTTTTGAGTTTATATATATATATATATATGTATTATGTTGATTAATTAAAAGTATATATGAATTTTTTGCATCAGTTTCAAGGAGATTCTTCCTGATACATAAAAATATTTGTTTAAAATGATGTATCAAACATGTAGTACAATTGACACTAATTTTAAATCTACATATCAGAAAGAAAAAATTAGCTCTAAAATTGATCAAAGTAGAAAATCTAACATCTTGAACTGTGTTTGATGAAAAGTTACTTTATAGTAAAAATAAAGGTTACCATATTTAAATTTGAAGACAAGTTTCTGTGTGGTGTTTGTCTATAAATACAAATTTACAACATTGTAATGAAAATGTTTTTCTTTAATAGTGCTTTGAAGAAGTGTTAAGTACCAGTAGGCTTCATATTAACATAGATTTGCTGGTTTTTTTTTATTGATAATAAAGTAACATAATTTTATGTGCAAAACCTATGCAATATATTTACACATATACAAAGTATATTAACATTATTTTAGTTCTATTAGCATATTGTAGTTAAAGTAAGAAACCCAAGTAGCCTTACAAAACAAAAATATTTAGTACATGTATGGAAAATTATCAGGATTCCGTTCCTTTATCTTTATGAGCAATCACTCCCCTCATAATCATGTCTGGAATCTCTACTGCTAGCCAAGGTCCCAACTACAATACAAAAAAAAATATCACATTAAATAAATTACATGGTCAATCATTACGAGTTTCTGGTCTTCTGTAAGAAGGTTGAAAGCACACAACAAAAAGTTAAATTTAACATAACGAACATGTATGTATTGTGTTTAATAAAATATAAACAGCTATTTAATAGGTCCAAGTATTGTTACAGTAGCTTATACATCATAAAATTATTATCTAATAAAATCAATACATTTAAGCATTTTAAAATAAACAGAAACCAAGAAGAATTAATAAACAAAGAAGTGTGGCCCTTCAGCATTTTAATCAGTTAAAAGCAAAACATAATATCATCACACTTGTAAAATGTAAATGAAAAAATCTCATTCACCTCTTACTGATTTGCATATAATTTATCTATTACAGTTTAACTTAAATGAAAAACATTACCTATAATATATGTATTAAAAGTGGCAAAGGATGGTTATTATTCATTAAGATTACTGTAGCATGGACTATCATATTTCAACTTTATTCTAATTTTCTTAAACATTTTCTACGCTAAAAACAAGAACAAAAGTTTCTTAACATAACGTTTTGGGACCTATTGGTCCATCTCGGCTGTTCCATCCTCTAAACTAAATTTAAAGCCACCTCTTATCATTCCTATACTAAAGATTTTTTCTTACACTCACTTAAATTTACTGCCTCTACAACATTTGAAGGTCAACCATCCTGTTAGAAAAATAAAACTGTCTTAGCTGAAGATGACTCCTACTTTGTCAAAATTTATATTTGTGTTCCCTAGTCCTACTATTCTCAC